TCTAATGAATAGAGCCAATAAATAGGGCCTCCTTTAATATGAAGTTCCATTCCAATTTTGCTTTTTTTTTCTTAAAACATTTAAAAAATTTCTTTATAAAAATTACTTACCTGCTGTATAAGCACTATATCATCCCAAAATAAATCTGTCGCATTATTATCGAAGGCCTCTAAAAGAAATCTACGTAAAAAAGACCTTCGTGCTATAAAAAAAACCAGATTTGAAAACCTTGATATTTCTGTCGTTGAAGATAATACTAATTCCACATCCAATATTAACCTGGCCGATGAAAGAGATGATATTTTCTATGATCCTCTGAAAGTAAGTTAATTAATTGTGATACAAGTAAACCCCTATTATTTATAGTATAGTCTTCTTAGGGGTACTTTTCGCCTTTTAAGGCAGGCCTAGGATCCGAGTATTCCCTCTTTATATAAGTTATTTTTCATCTCGGGCATGATCGTCATCCTTGATGTGGGGCATGTGTGAGGAGGAAGGTGATGCAAACTTCATGGGTTTTAAACCCCCAAACCACACTATTGAGAGTGATTCGAATATATCTACCGAGAAGATTTTATTACTATTCAACATGAAGTATTTTTTGTATATCAATTTACCAGTTTTTTGAATATATATTTTCTAGCACAGGACTCAAAGTGAGACCCGTCTATCTAAGAGCAAATCACATTAATATATTCTATCTTACTGGAAATCTGAAGATTTCATGGCGAGCGATCTTAAGTCAAAGAATGATTTGCAATCTATTTTTTTAATAGATTCAAAGATCATCTTTTTCGAAAAATTTGCAGAAAGAAGATGGCAATGAGAAGTTATTAAGACACTACTGGACTGAGAATTGCTTCCATTGGATGCTATAAAGCAAAACACCTTTTCCCTTAAATATGACGCTCTTTCCAAATTTGACCTAGAAAATATTTGGAGCGAATTATATAATTCAGAAAGATTACTACTACCCCAAACCACACAAATTATTCATCTTATTTTAACTACCTTTCAAATACCTGCTGAATTTATTGATTTACTAGAATCAGAAATTTTTGATTACACCAAACCCACAAATAAAAATTCTGATTTAGCATAGAAGCAATTCACTTTGTGGGCATTTTTTGTAATCAGTCTTTCTATTGTAAAGCAGATTCATAACCATTGTTAGTGCCTCTGGTCTAAGATAAAGTATGCACATCAGCAATATATAAAAGCAGGAAAAGTTTTGCTAAAGCAAACAACAATATCTGAGGCACTTTGTCAAAATTTAAAAGACAAGCAAATTATTGCCAGTGTATTAACTGATAAGATGTCCGAGGAAGATGTTAATATAAAAGGGTATTATCATATATTCGACCCACAATGTTTTAAGAATACTCTTGGAGAAACAATGGTGGATTTATATACTTTTCAGAGTTCCAGGATCACTAAAAGTGCAAAGATAGCAGTGAAACAATACTATGTTCACATGCTTGATAATTCATTTCACTAGTCCAAAGAATTTTCAAAAGAATTGGTCAAGCATTTTGGTACTTTTACGGGCAATAACAATGAACCTTATACAACATCAAATACTGCCTCATTTTACAACCGGGGTCATTTAAAATGTGTTCAAGGATTGATACAAGGCCTTCAACCATTATCTGATGCTGTTAATAGTTATATTAAGGAAACATATCTGGCCTTGTATACAAAAATAAGAAAACTTGATCTTGGACCAAACATTCCTAAATTGTTTGGAAACTTTCCTACTATAGCAATTAATTTTAATGCTATTTGCCAGTTCCATCTGGATCTAAAAGAACACCACAATTCGCTCTGTGTTGTATGCCCACTTGGAATATTTAAAGGTGGACAATTAGTATTTCCTGAGTTAAAATTAATAATACATGCAAAACAGGTGCAAGCTATTGCTTTTAGATCGAACATTTTAGTTCACAGAAATCTTCCAGTTCTTGCAGACATACATCATAGTGTCATATTTTTTATACATAATACTATAATTAAACAAAATAGAAAATTTGGCTCCCTATTTTGTGATTCAGATTCAGATAATGAAATAGGTATAAATATAAATAGTGATAAAAAGAAGATAAGGTTACTGCAAAAAAATAGATATTCTTTCAAGTTTGGTTCTAAATCCCTACCAAAATTAAAAAAATTGAGACAAGCTAACCTTGGTGAGTGTTAAATTTTCAAGTTTGAATCTAGAGATATCTAGTGTTTATAATACTATATTTGTCTCAAACTGCTTAGAGATCTAGAATCTACAAAGCGAGGCTTGTTAGCAAAATACAAAAAATAATAAATATTAAATTATAATTTAGTGTATGATTAACATTCTTCTTAATATAGTAATGAACTCGATTGAGTGTACAGGCCTGATTGCATATTTGCGAGGTAAACTTGAATGATAATGATTTCAGCCATTTTTATATATATTACAAAGAGTCCAACATGTGTATTTCCCGATGACACAAAAATGAATTGCAATATTCATTAGTATGTAAGATTTTTTTATAACTATGAAGTGTAGCATTAATTAAACATGGCGAAGGCCCTTAATAATATTACACAGTCCTCTCCAAAATACCAGACGGATAACCGTGTGCTTGCATGTGGGTGTCCATCACGGTCATTTTGGTAGCTTAGAAAAAGCCAGAATGGAACAGAACAAATTAGGATGATCGACAACCTCGAAATTCTATCTATATAATGGTGGTTTTTGGTCAGAGTTAATTCGGGCCAAAAGATCGACATTCGGCTCTGTATTTTCGGAAAAAATTTTTTTTTTACTATGTATTATTTAATAGTAGTTTTTCAATTTTTTTAATGCTTTAATTTGAGCCAAAAGATCAACATTCGGCTGCCGTGTTGATCATGTAGTGGTTTTTAAAAACTACCAAATGATCGATATTCCGGTTTCTTCTGATATATTTAAATAAAGCTATAACAGTAGTTGATATCAAATTTCTAATTGTAAACGTTTATGAAACTAAGAAATTGTAAACGATATTTTTATAATAATTAAAAACTTAAGAATTAATTTTTATTTGGTATTACAATTAAGAAGTTTTTGTTTAATTCTCTATTTAAAAAAAAAATATAAAAACATTGCAAAATTGGTAAGTTGAATTAAATTCTAAATATAAAATAAAAAAACATTTATATCAATATTATCCATATTTATCAAAGTTTTATAAATTTAATAAGGAAATGTCTAAAAATGGAACTTTTTCAATAAGCAAGAGTCAACAAGCTGAACGTCTTATTTTTAAACTTGTAAATGAGAACAAGTATATTGTAATTGAAAAGAGAGATGCCAATGTGTTGGTAATTTTTTTAAGTATGAAGGGACAAATTATTAATATTCCAAAAAAATATAAAATTAAGGATATATGCACCGGGGATATGTATAAATCACATGAATTCGATAGAATTCCTTGTTTTGTTCTATCAAATAATTTGAATGATTTTCAATTATGTGTTAAAAATATTGAAACAAAAAAATGGGAAGCGATTTTTTGGTTTGATAAGATGGAGATGTTTTCTGTAAATCATAGTTCTGAGATTGTAGGCATTAATCGTAATGAACATCTTGAATTGTATTCTAGAATTAACGATAGTATTCAAAAAAAGATTATTGACATTGAGACTCAAGAGCAACAGGAAAAAATGTAATATATTAATCATGTAATAACTTATTTAATAAAGTCAATTATTCTGTATTACACTTATCGAATAATAATATTTATAATCTATACAGACTTTTTAATAATTAAAATTTAATTGAGTTTCTAAAGAATCCTAATATCAAGGTTGTATACATCTTTTCGTCTTTTCTATGTAATTTTGTATTTACTTGTATATCTAAAATTATTATTTTAAACATGTAAAATAAAAAATATTTTTCATGTTTCACAATATTTTAAATTTGGCAATCAAATTACTTTAAATAAATAAAATGAAAATGAATTTAGACTTGAGAATGAATCGAGTTTGGTAATCAAAAATTTTACTTTTTGAGTAGAATCTGAATATTAGTAAATTCTATGTAGATATGAATACGTATAAATGCGTAAATTTTGATATGTGATAAAAAATTATATAAATACGTTTTTTTGCCTGGGTAAAACTAAAATGGCAAACAATTATAGATTCTGCCAAATCATGGCAACTATATTCTATTGCATTCCTTGTATAAATTCTTTCAAATATAAAAAAAACCGTACTAAAAAAGATAAAGAGAGTCGTGAAGACATTTTTGCTCAAACTGGTGAAGCTCCGTTATGTGCAAACTGTCAGAAGAATCATTGGTGCTGTAAAAATGCGGCATGTATAAATTGCTGTAAGTTACATGAATGCAACGATTTTGTTTGTTCTTCATGTAAATCTCTTGGTATTGAATGCAAACGTGTTCTACCACGCACTGAAGCAGAATATAAAGAATTAAAAGCAAAAGGTCTTACTTACTCATCTGGTCAGCCAGAACCAACAGAGAAAGGTCAGTTTCATGAACAATGTTTTTTTCAATTCAAAGATCAGCAAACGATGAAGTCTGTTAAATCTTTATTTGGACATCATTCTATGAGTTTTTCAAAATGTTTAAATGGTGATTCAGAACAAAATCGTGATTATAGTATAAAGCCATGGAATCGTTGCAAAGATCCTGCACATGCTAAAAACTGTCGTTGTAACTATTTTGATCGTTCAAAAATTTGTATTTTTTGTACTGTTGAATATATTGAGAAACGTACTCGTGCACGTTGGGTTGATGATGGCATTGAATTAGGCCTATGGGAATTTGGTTCATATCGATTTCTTTCTTCTCAAAATGAATTTCTTGGAGAAGACGAAATTAAAAAATATCATTTAGAAGATATGGATCATGTTAATTGAATCAATGAAGAGGATATTTCTATACGTGAAATATTAGAGGATATTAAAACATTATATCCACGATATTGGCTTCGATCTTTGCAAGATCTTTTTTTTCTTGAAGAAAAAAGAGAACATCTTTTAACTAAAAAGCTTAAAAAATTTTGGAGACTAGTTACATTTTACATTTATAGTGAAGGTGGAGCAGGGAAGTCTGGGCTGGTTTCTGAATTATTTTCTAATGAATATTATGCTAAACCGAAAAAAACAAAAATCAGAATCTAATTGGTGGGATGGGTATAAGAGACATGAGATAGTTCTTTTTGATGAATGGTATACATCAATAGATTGGAATGATATTGTAAAATATTTGAATGATACACCTGAGAATGTTGAGCAAAAAGGCAAGACATTTGTGCCTTTTCTTGCCAAGTATGTCTTTATGACATCTCACAAACCACCAGAAGAAGCTTTTAATTTTCGAAGACATAATATAAATGAAGAGATGTCAACTCAACGTGATTGGGGTCAATTTTATCATTGTCTTGATTATGTTATTGAATTTAAAGGTATATGGCATGATGAGATAGATCTTCGTACTACCGAATTAATATTTCATAAAGGTTCAGAGAAAGAATTTTGAAACATGACATGGGATGTAAAATATCATAAAGATGAATTTACATCTGAGGAACTAAAAGCTGTGGTATAGGAATTAACTAAGAATCAAGATGGTGAAGTGATCATTAAAGATAACAATCAGGTTTACTGGCATCATCACTTTCCTGAATTCAAGAAAAACTATCTACGTGATTATCCTAGATATCACGAGCTTTTCGACTACAAGCAGGAGCTTTTACAACAATCACAATTAGTTTTATCTTCAACTACACCAGGAAAAAGATCTCAAGAACATATATCCAAATCCAAAACTGAATCATATTTCGATGATGATTCTGATTACAGTCGTCAACAGTCGATGGCCGAATCTAGCACTACTGCAGCAAAAAGAAAACCTAACAAGCAATTGAAGCGTCAAATTAAAAAAATTATAAATGATTCAGATCATGATAATATAAATATACAAAAATCTGTAGAGATTATAGAAATAACTGATGAATATGCTAGTAGTTAAACCATGGGTTAATGGCGAATATAGAATAGCTTTTTTAAATAATTTTAAGTTTATTAATGAATTAAAGGACTATAGTTTTGAGGGTAAATGTGAAATAAAAGAGTTGGTTCATTTTGAATATAATAACAATGTTCCAAGTTTTGTATTTTCTAATTGTGATATTTTTTTGGTTATAAAGTATATTTTAAAACTAAATTAATTTTAGAATTTAACTCTGGAAAAGTTTATTCTTATATTTTACAACAA